TTAACAACGGATATTTGGCTGTGCAGTACGCAGTTGAAGCGATGGAGGGCCTGGACGTCCCTGAGCGCATCGATACCAAATCCAAAATTATCGATCTCGACAATATGCTCTGGCCGGATAATCAGAAGCAGCTGTTTCCGTTTGTCCGCTGAGCTATTGGTGAACCGAGTGCCGCACCTCCTTAAGCGGCACTTTTTTTTGCGTTCATCACCTCATTCTTCCCACGTCATGAGAATTTTCATAGAACACATGAGAATTTTATATTCGAATCTACCTGCGGATACAGCATAATGTAAACGTATCCAAGAGGGATACGAGAGGCTCGTTAAAGAGAATATCAGGAGGTCTGTGAACGATGAAAAAAATCACTTCCGTCATCCTAGCCGGTGCGTTGCTGGGTACGGTCATGGCCGGCTGCTCGAACTCCGGCGACAAATCCACGGGGGCTTCCGGCGGCAGCACGGACAGCGGCAAGGAGCCGTCCATCGGGGTAGCCATTTATAAATTCGACGATACGTTTATGACGGGTGTACGCAATGCCATCAAAACCAATGCGGAAGGCAAGGCAAAGGTGGATATTGTGGACAGCCAGAACTCCCAGCCGACCCAAAACGACAAGGTCGATCTGTTCATTACCAAAAAAACCGATGCGCTGCTGATCAACCCTGTGGACCGCACGGCGGCCGGCGTTATTATCGACAAAGCCAAAACGGCCAGCATCCCGGTCGTCTTCCTGAACCGTGAGCCGCTGCCCGAAGACATGAAGAAATGGGACAAAGTGTATTACGTTGGCGCCAAAGCCGAAGAATCCGGCACGATGTCCGGGGAGCTGATTGCGGACTATTGGAAGGCCCATCCGGAAGCGGATAAAAACAAGGACGGTGTCCTGCAGTACGTCATGCTCAAAGGAGAACCCGGACACCAGGATGCGGAGCACCAAGTACTCGATCCAGGCGATCGAAGACGCAGGCATCAAGGTCGAGAAGCTGGCGGAAGACACGGCGATGTGGGACCGCGTGAAAGGGCAGGAGAAGATGGCCGCTTTCCTCGGTTCGCATGGCGATAAAATCGAAGCGGTTCTCGCGAACAACGACGACATGGCGCTTGGCGCGATCGAGGCGCTGAAAGCGGCAGGCTACTTCACGGGCACTAAAACGATGCCGGTTGTCGGCGTGGACGCCACGGCGCCGGCGCTTCAAGCACTGCAGGACGGCACGCTGCTCGGCACGGTGCTGAACGATGCGAACAACCAGGGCAAAGCTTCCGTGACGCTGGCCACGCTGCTGGCCAAGGGCGAAACGCCGACCAAGGAGAACGTCGGATTCGACATTACGGATAATCAATACGTATGGATTCCTTACAAAAAAATTACCAAAGACAACATCGACGATGCGAAGTAAGCTGACAGGCTGGACTTAAACTAACCATCCCCGGAAAGGGCGGACGAGAAGCGCGGTCCGTCCTTTCCTCTGGATGAGGGCAGGGAGCGGAAGTTATGGCTGAGCATGAATTTTTACTGGAAATGAACCGGATCAGCAAAGAGTTTCCCGGCGTTAAGGCGCTGGACGGGGTTACGCTGCAGGTAAGGCCCGGTACGGTTCATGCCCTGATGGGGGAGAACGGTGCCGGCAAGTCCACTTTAATGAAATGCCTGTACGGCATTTATTCGCCGGACGCGGGCGATATTCTGCTGGACGGCAATAAGGTCCAGATCAACAATTCCAAGGATGCGCTGAACCTGGGGATTTCGATGATTCATCAGGAGCTG